ATCTAGAAAATCATGAAACATTTTGCTTATTGTTGAGGATAAGCTATGCTATTAATCATTATAACAAAAGTCAAAAAAATATTAATACATTTTTATTTCAACTAAAACTCTATTTTTGCTTAATATTCCTAGGCGTGCTAGGTGCTAGGAAGAGTCATAACGCTTGCCTACCACCTAGCACCTTCTTGAACCTTGCTATGGAGAAAAGAACTTAAATATCTATATAAAAAATGCAATTGATTATACAAAAAATACATAAACAATGAGCCAAATTTTTTGTGAAAAAAACTGAGTAAAAGTAATAATACAAATAAGTAATTCGCTATAGTAATTAGCCAGAACCAATCTGCTTTTATTAAGGGAAGATTAATAAGTGACAATGTACTTCTGGCTCACGAAATGGTTAGGTTGTACAATAGAAAGGCCATTTCCCCTAGATGTGCATTAAAGGGAGATGTGATGAAGGCCTTTGATAGTGTAGATTGGGGTTACTTAAGAACAGTAATGCAGGCAATGAAGATACCAGATCAGTTTATTAAATGGATTGATATATGCCTGCAAAGTACAAAGTTGAGTGTGTGTTTCAATGGTGGTCTTTGTGGGAATTTTGCTGCTCAGAAAGGGTTGAGGCAGGGGGATCCCCTGTCCCCCTACCTGTTTGTCATTGCAATGGAGGTCCTATCTTGCATGTTCAACAGGGCCTATGCTATCAAAACTCTCCCTCCCCACCCTCAAACTCATAGAATTAGTCTTTCCCATCCTTGTTTTGCTGATGACCTACTGGTCTTCACAAAGGGAACCCCAGAGGCTGTTGGGCAAGCAAAAGCCATTTTAGATACCTTCTACACTGTATCTGGACTGAAGTGTAACCCTACCAAAAGTGAGGTATTCTGTGGGGGGGGGGGGGGGTGAGCCCTAGTGTCCAGACTCTGATTTCTTCTAGAACTGGGTTTGCCATTGGGCATCTTCCTGTGAGATATCTAGGGATCCCTCTCATTGCAGGGAAGCTGAATAAGGTGGATTGTCAGGCTCTAGTTGATAAGATAACCACTAGAATAAGGGGCTGGAAGGTAAGAACTTTGTCATATGCTGGAAAATTACAGCTCATATCTGCTGTTATATCTAGCATCACCCAATACTGGATGGGGATTATCCAGCTTCCAGCCAAAGTGATCAAAATGGTAGAAATGGCCTGCTCTGACTTCCTGTGGAGTTCTGAGGAGGAGGGAAAAAGAGCAAAAGTTATCTGGTCAATGGTGGCCAGACCAAAAAAAGAGGGGGGTTTAGGTTTTAAAGATCTCAGGAGTTGGAATATGGCATGTTTGGTCAGACATCTATGGGCCATCTCTTCAAATTCCTCTTCTCTATGGGCTAACTGGGTCAGGCACTATCAAACTTCTTATACTTCAATCTGGGAAATCCCTGATACTATCCCCTGCTCGTGGGCTTGGAGGAAGGTTCTGAAGATCAGAACTAGAGTGGCACAGCATCTCATTGTCAGGTCTGGAAGAGTCTTCTGGAAGGATCATGAAATGGTTAAATTTTCAGTAAAGAAGGTTTGGGAGACACTTCGTGTGCAACATGATCTTGTTCCATGGTATGCTTTAATCTGGAAGTCACTGGGGGCTCCTAGGGACAAACTGATAGTCTGGCTGATTGCTTTGAACAGAATATCTACATTAGATAAAGTTGCGAGGTGGAATAGCTTAGTGACCAACATTTGCCCATTATGCACCAACATGGCAGAATCAAGGGATCATCTTTTCTTTGAGTGTTCCTACTCTCAAACTGTTTTGAAGGCTGTGCTTGCAGGGCAAAATCTGGTTAGGGTAAGCTGGGAGGAATCTTTGGAAGCTGCTGTGTCTCTCTTTCGGATGCAGGGTCCCTCATCTGATCGTGGTAAGCTTATCTGGGTGATGGTAGTGGCTGAACTCTGGCGTGAAAGGTGTAGAAGGGCTATGGCTGGGGAGGTGCTGTCAGAAAACCAGCTCCTGTTGAAGTTGCAGAGATCGCTGCGTCTGCTCAGGGGAGGGTTTCCTCAAATTGAGATTGTAGTCCCAGAGGATTTTGTAAATAGCATAGTATAGCAGTTTGTAGTTTGATAGTCTGATTGTTTTGTTTGGTTGTTTGTCCATTCTGTAAGAACTGGTCTTCTCTGTAAATGGTTCTTGGGTTCCAGTTAGAGGGGTTCACTATGAACCCCCTCTTTCTTGATGAATAAAAGAAGCTTATTCATAAAAAAAAAAAAAATACAAATAAGTAATTGTTACCTAGCTACTAAATACAACAACAAAATATACTATCTTACCAATTGGACCATAAAATAAATAAGAATTCTTTCAATCCGAAAATACCTTGAAGGATTGTTAATCACTTAGGTTTGGACTCGATCGCGTCTGTAATGGCGGCAAAACAAAGAAAACAATTCATCTTAATCAGTGAATATGAAGGGTGATCTAGGAACCAGTGACTTACATGGTGAAAAATCAGGCGCAGCGTGCAATTGATCAATTGGGTGGAAGAAATCTAGCTGATAAACAACGATAGAGAGAAACGCAGCTTTCCCTATAATTGATTGATCGAGATTTTAGATCTTAGAAGAGAAAGCCTCGGTTTGTACAATCACTCCACCGCATCTCTTCGCCAGAAGCTGATTTTACGCCTAACCGCTGACTCCCAGTCAATCCATCGGAAGCAGCGGGCACCATTATTGCCGGAAAGCATCTATGTGGAATCCTGAATTGAGACGGCGGGAGAACCAGTGACTTACATGGTAAAATTGATGAACGATTTTGATAAACTCTGCCAATCAATCCATCGGAAGCAGCGGGCACCATTATTGCCGGAAAGCATCTATGTGGAATCCTGAATTGAGACGGCGGGAGAACGAGGACAAGATTGCAGCGGCGGGAGAAAACCCTAAAGTAAAGAGGAAAATGAAACAACAGTCCGGAATTGAAGATGATAATTAGGGAATTTAATATATGTATAAATAAACAGTAATATTGATTAAACAAAAATATAACCATTGGCAGGATGCAAGAGAAATTTTACAATGCTATATAATATTGGCGCTATAGATTTTTGTCTTTATGGTACAACTTGAAGTTGTACCTTAAACGTTATGGTACAGTTTTAGATTGTACCTATATTTTTTGTACAAATTCTTTTATGGTACAACTTGAACTTGTATTTTTATTTGATGGTACAACTTCAGGTTGTAAAGTTCTACCATAATATAATTATACAAATTCCTTTATGGTACAACCTAAACTTATACATTTAATGTCATGGTACAACTTCAAGTTGTACATTAAAACACTAATACTATATAGTATAGTAGAAGTGCTACGAATGCAAAACTTTGGATTACCTTTATTGTTAGGCTTTTGGAGGAATTTTAGTTAGAAATCTAGCCGAATTCTAACTAATTAAAAGCAACTTATGTGGTTGTAGGAATTTTAAAATGCTACCAAGTATGGGTGCTTCCGGGCATAATTGTGAACTCGTATTATAATGTTTAAAATAGAACATACAAGTTCAATTTGTATTACAAGAAAGTTTATATGAAAATTTATACGTACAAATTGACAACAAATTGTTTCTTATGTGTTTTTAGAGATGATGCCCTTTAACTTGTACGTTAGGGAACGAAAATCCATCAGTAGCTTTTAGGGTTATAGGTATAATATGCTCGTCTACTATGACGTTTTATTAAACATGCCCCTCTACTATTTTTTACATCAAACATGCCTAGGGATGGCAATTTTGACCTGACCCGATTTACCCGACCTGTCTGACCCGCCCCGTATGCGGGGCGGGACGGGAATGGGTACCTCTCATCTACCCGACCTGCCCTGACCTGCCCCTTTCTCGACCCGTTCTGGCATAAGTTACATGTAATCTTAGTCAAATTACTTAGGATTTTCCTCTTATTACATCATATTTTAGGTATAATAAAGTTGTAAATAAGTTAAAAACTCAATTTCTCCAATAATTTAATTACATTTTATCAAATTATGGTTTCTTTTTTGGTCTTTTAATTAAAATAATGAATAATTCTAATTTTTTCGCATAAATTATATACCCAATGGGTCGACCTGCCCCGACCCGCGCCCCATGATAAATTACCCGACCCGGACCCGACCTACCACGGGGCGGGTATGGGTATCGAGATACCCGCCCCGGACCTGCCGCATTGCCATTCCTAAACATGCCTCTATACTTTGAAAAACTTTTCAAACATGCCCTTTTGCTAAAATTTCCATCCAAAAACCGTTAACCAAGACCGAACTTTGGTTTGGACGACCCAAATATTTAAAATATCTCTAATAATTTCACTTTAGAGTTTTTTTTTTGTTCTTTTGTATAGCTAAATAATTATAATAATTTCACTTTGATGAGACCTAGAGAAATAAAGCAAGGGTCAAAATTGACATTTCCCCTCCCATTTATTGATGTCAGGTCGTCTAAATCTCGATTCAATCATGATTGACAATTTTACCAATGGAAATTTCAACTAAAGAGCTTTGATAGTTTTTCCAAATTACAGGGGCATGTTTGATGTAAAAAATAATAGAGGAGCATGTTTGATTAAATGTCATAGTAGAGGGCCATATTATACCTATAACCCAAACTTTGAAGGATGACCAACTGTCTCTTTAACTTGTAAGTGTGTTCAGAGACTAGGAACTATTCCCTATGTCGCTTGTAGTCATGACTAGTTGTTCCTTTATTTATGTATTTGGGGATGACTAATTAAGTAAATATCACCTTGCAAAATTGTAAGGAGGCTGAATTACACATTTGGTCACTCAAATTATACAAATCTTTCACGTTTGCCACCTGAATTACTTTTCTTTCTTATTCGCCACTAACTTTACGAATCATTTCACCGTAGCCACCAACCGTCCAATTCCGTTAAAATCATCCTACGTGGCAGTCAACCAAAGCCTTTGACCGTTAGTTTGATGACGTGGCAATTAAAAAATAATATAAAAATTAAAAAAATAATATAAACGTTATTCATCTGCTTGAACCTCTTCACCACCATCACCTGCCCGGAAGTCAGCGCCGCCTTGTACGAAAAACCAAAGCCCCCGGCTCCCAGTATCTCCGCCGACGCCTTCAGTAGATCGGTCAGCTCGAACTTCCCCCTGTCCTCCCTCACGAACGATAGCTTCACCGCCTCCGCCGCCGCCTTCTTCCCTCCTCCTCCGGCCGCCAGGTGGCTCTCCTGCTTCTTCGGCGCCCGCGGGTTCGGGTCGTCTGGCTGTATGTTCGGCACCCCCGGAGTGCCGGCCTCGATCAACTCCGGGGGCTAGTTGCGGCGGCGCATCGGGATGAACGCCGCCGTGAGGATTCTGCATACGGCGAACCCGCCGACGATTGCCACGAAGACGATGTTCGCCGTCGAGGGTTTCTAGTAGCCGATGGTGGCGGCGGCGGGGCCGTCGGGTCGTCCGGGTCGGTCGGGTTTGCGACATCGTTGGTTTGTAGGACGCTTGACTTGGAGTTTGTGGCGGTAGCCTTTGCCGCCGTTGCGTCGACGGCAGCGTCGGATGGGGCGAGAGTGGCGGTGCATTCACCTAATGGTTTTCCACATAAGCCTTTGTTCCCTGCGCTCTCACGTGTTTCAGTTGCATAACCAGAATTCGTCCCTCCTGTTCATCCCGTCGTGACCTCGCTAATGGAGGCCATGATCGTGAACTCGCTAACCGAGCTTGACCGCGCTCTGAGCCCCGGCGTGACGAAGCGGTGCATGGGGTCGGCGGAGGACATGATTGACTTCGCCACGTCGGTCATGGGCCGGAGCGTGGAATTGGCAGCAAACTGAAAATAATTTTATTTTTTATATTATTTTTTAATTGCCACGTCATCAAACTAACGGTCAAAGGCTTTGGTTGACTGCCACGTAGGATGATTTTAACGGAATTGGATGGCGGGTGGCTACGGTGAAACAATTCGTAAAGTTAGTGGCGAATAAGAAAGAAAAGTAATTCGGGTGGCAAAAGTGAAAGATTTATATAATTTGAGTGACCAAATGTGTAATTTAGCCTATATTTTTTAACAAAAAAAAAATAGAGCCATTTTTTATTAGTCTATACTACATGGTATTGACTGGTATTGAAATAAGAGCATAACTATGGTTTGAAAAGCGTTTCATGGTGGTATGAACAAACCAAGACTGTAGATGGTTGAATACATGATAGTAGAAGTATATTAATTGTCATTTACGACTTTTAACATTGTATACCACAAGATACCACCCCGTACCAGGGTGGTAATGTATGGTATTGTGTGATATTTTTTGGTCTTGTAATTTGTTCAACTAGAAATTTGTAGATCCAACAGATCATGATGAACTCGTTTCTTCTGTGCAAACGTTTTCAAAAACGAATTAAAAATGAAGAAAATATCATATGGTAAGCAGATGGTACCAAGAGGCAAGAAATTTTTTCTCAGAAAATATTGAAAATAGTTCTCATTTTGTAGAGCACAACGAACTCGTTCCATTTGTGCAAAAAAAAAAAAAATTAAATCCGAGTTGAAACGAAGAAGATATGAGTCAATTAAAAAAGCTATGTAAAATGAAAAATGATCTTTAATTCTCAATCCTTATATCTGGATTTTCTAAATAAAGAGTCCAGATTTAATTATTGATGGGTGCCTAACCCACCATATATCTTGAGCCGTGTAACGCGGGTACCTCTCCTAGTAGTAATTATAATTATATTACGTGGTCTTATTAGTTATTCAAAAAGACATAATCGAGGCTTTTCTCTTGTGATAATGTTGGGAATCTTTCTCTAGTTAGTTTGGGGCTCAACCTGCCAATGAACACAGTCTAACAAATAAAGCGGAAGACTGTTTGCTTTTTCAATATGCCCTAGGTATGGTGACTATGTTTTGCAGCGGGGTTTGATGATTGTGGTCCTTACAATGGCTAAATTACACATTTGGTCACTCAAATTATATAAATCTTTCACTTTTGCCACCCGAATTACTTTTCTTTCTTATTCGCCACTAACTTTACGAATTGTTTCACCGTAGCCACCCGCCGTCCAATTCCGTTAAAATCATCCTGCGTGGCAGTCAACCAAAGCCTTTGACCGTTAGTTTGATGACGTGGCAATTAAAAAATAATATAAAAAATAAAATTATTTTCAGTTTGCTGCCAATTCCACGCTTCGGCCCATGACCGACGTGGCGAAGTCAATCATGTCCTCTGCCGACCCCATGCACCGCTTCGTCACGCTGGGGCTCAGAGCGCGGTCAAGCTCGGTTAGCGAGTTCACGATCATGGCCTCCATTAGCGAGGTCACGACGGGATGAACAGGAGGGACGAATTCTGGTTATGAAACTGAAACACGTGAGAGCGCAGGGAACAAAGGCTTATGTAGAAAACCATTAGGTGAATGCACCGCCACTCTCGCCCCATCCGACGCTGCCGTCGACGCAACGGCGGCAAAGGCTACCGCCACAAACTCCAAGTCAAGCGTCCTACAAACCAACGATGTCGCAAACCCGACCGACCCGGACGACCCGACGGCCCCGCCGCCGCCACCATCGGCTACTAGAAACCCTCGACGGCGAACATCGTCTTCGTGGCAATCGTCGGCGGGTTCGCCGTATGCAGAATCCTCACGGCGGCGTTCATCCCGATGCGCCGCCGCAACTAGCCCCCGGAGTTGATCGAGGCCGGCACTCCGGGGGTGCCGAACATACAGCCAGACGACCCGAACCCGCGGGCGCCGAAGAAGCAGGAGAGCCACCTGGCGGCCGGAGGAGGAGGGAAGAAGGCGGCGGCGGAGGCGGTGAAGCTATCGTTCGTGAGGGAGGACAGGGGGAAGTTCGAGCTGACCGATCTACTGAAGGCGTCGGCGGAGATATTGGGAGCCGGGGGCTTTGGTTTTTCGTACAAGGCGGCGCTGACTTCCGGGCAGGTGATGGTGGTGAAGAGGTTCAAGCAGATGAATAACGTTTATATTATTTTTTAATTTTTATATTATTTTTTAATTGCCACGTCATCAAACTAACGGTCAAAGGCTTTGGTTGACTGCCACGTAGGATGATTTTAACGGAATTGGACGGTTGGTGGCTACGGTGAAATGATTCGTAAAGTTAGTGGCGAATAAGAAAGAAAAGTAATTCGGGTGGCAAACGTGAAAGATTTGTATAATTTGAGTGACCAAATGTGTAATTCAGCAAAAAAATATATATCAAAGTGGATATCATTTTGAAGAGCACAATTAATCTGATCAAACTGTGCAAAAAAATTAAATTTCGACTTAAAACGAGTGAGAAATCGTCCGCCAAAGATTAAAGAAGGGAAAATTAAAGGCTTTACGTAATAGGGAGTTTGAATGGGATTTTGCTTGTTTTTGCAAGCCCAAGTATTTCTAATTTTTAACTTTTTTATCTCCCCAATTTATATCTTTTTAACCACTGGGCTAGGTGAAGTTTCATAGCTAGGTTTTGTTTTACCACCGCAGCCTCTTTGCCTCTTTCCGGCTCCCGATCTCTTTTTACAAACACAAGACATGATTTCTGTATCTCTATCAATCTATCCATACATCACCATCCCATTATCAATTGGGGGAATCACTTCAGCAAACTAAAGAAGAAATTGAAGGGAAGAATTCAGACAATTTTCCTGGCCCATACTAATCCCTCCAATCCAATTTCACTTGCATGTTACGCTGCTTCAATTCTGCTCACGGAGCGGACAATGGATCTCTAATTGGGGGTCTAAGTCCCACCCTCATTTGTTCTTCGAAATTGGGGGAATCAGTATGAATCCTATCTCCCTTTTTTGCATATTTCTAATCAGATGGAGGAAGAAAGCGAAAAAAATTCAAGTGGGGCTACCATGCATGTGATCGTTTTAGTCAGATATGTTCCTTGATGGATCTGGCACTCAAAATGAATCTTCTCCCCGTTGTGGTCTCGTGCTTGTTTCCAGGTATGACTCATATGGATTCCGACTTCTCTTACTGCATTTCAGTTTGTTGTTAATATGGGGATGATGGTGAGAGTTCTACATCAATCCAGTTTAATTAGTCATCTTGGATAGAAATAGTTTGTTGTTATGAAACTAATGAAAATATAAACAACTACAAGAGAAGATTAGAGAGAAGATTAGAGAGGGAAAGACACAAGAGAAGATAGGGGAAGAGTTCTTCTTATTCATTTTATTCCTTTGTACAATGGGGAGCTCTATTTATAGGCACATATACATAACATTCACATTCTCCTCTATCAATGCACTTAAAAATGTGATATAATTAATAACCATGAAGAGAATTCATTTCCATGTCCAATGGACATCCACCATACTATATTGTTTCATAACACTTCCCCTTGGATGTCCATCTACTGAGAATATGCCTCATTAAAACCTTACTAGGAAAAATCCTATGGGATTTCTACAAAAAAAAAAACCCTATGGGATAAAATCCTAGTGAAGGAAAAAGAGTACATAATCATCATAATACGCCATCCGAAACTGCCTCGTTAAAAACCTTACCAGGAAAACCCAGTGGGAAAAACCATTGTTAAGGGAAAAAGAGTGCAGTGCGTATATGTTCCCCCTCATGACAACATCAAAGTGTAGTTTTGTGAACATTACTTTCAAATATCCTGATGGTAAGTTTTTAAGTGAACAAATCTTCTAGATTGGCACTTTATGCATGATCCATTAGGACCATTTTCTTCATACATGATCTTCAGGATCATTTTCTATGAAGATAATCCACAACCACAAGTCTTTTAGACGTGTTGGATCACAAATCTTAACCAAACAATTCATAACAAGTCTCATGAAATGTTGACCATTGTGCATGATCAGATGATGTTGCTATTGTGATTTCTTTGGAATCTCCATGAGACACTTGAACGACCATATGTAAACAAATTACTCATCTATGATCATCATCGCTACCTATAGTAACGAAGTATAGCTCAATGAAGTATAGCGAGATACATTTTCTTTCTAACGATATTAACAGACGGTACTACAGGACCGAATAATTCACTTTTATCTCAATGCCTAAATTGATCTTTGTAGTTTGTTCACTTCTAGTGACCTTATGATCATTAGGCTGTTAAACATATGGAATTTTTTCATACAAAATTGTTCTTTCACTTTTCCGACATTGTCTTCTGATTCAAAAAAGGATCTTCTTAAATCCTCCATGTTCAATTTTCTTTCTTTAAGCAATCCTTGCTATACTAAACTCTTCAAGAGTTCAATTTTCTTCCTTTAAGCAAACCATGCTTTATGAAGCTCTTCTGGAGTTCATATCAACTAAAACATATGAGATCATTATAAAATAATTTCTCGACTCTTTTCTTCCAAATAACTATAAAACATAGCTAACACAATTGTATGAAAACAATAACTTCATACTACAAGGTCACAAGAAAAAGGGCACGTCATACACACAACATCATGTAACCAAACCACATTCATAAATCAAACTTATAACTAAAACCACAATATCACGCACATAAGCCTATATGTCATTACCCAATCCCACATGCCAAATGCAAATGCTCTAATGCACTTTATTCGAATTTAATCACGTAAGGCATATTTGACCACTCTCTTTAGCAGATATTCACTTAGATGAATATACCATATTCATCCATTTTATCTCAATCCAAATAAAGGATTGTTTTATCAATCGATATTGTTCTCGAGAATGTCACATGTTTGCTTCTGGCAAACTAATCCTTCAGGGAGTTTCGTATAAATATCATTATCAAGGGATCCATACAAATAGGCTATCACAATATCTACCAAATGAAAATTTCATACTTTTTGAACTGTCAAACTATTTAAATTGCACAACATAGTTGCATCCACCACAAGAATCCACCACAAGAGAGTATTTCCTCTTATAATTAATGTTAGGTTTCTACGAGAAATATCTTATGAGAAATTGTGTTATATCTCTCACAATTTTCATACGCGTTTGCACAAAATCCATTTGTATCCCGTTACTTTTACATCTTCGGGTGTAAGGACTGCTGGTCCAAAACTTATACCAAATAAGTCTAATGCTTTCTTTTATATTGGCCAATAAATATTCATTTGTATGCATCAATAGACCTTTACTTTTGATCCTCTTTGTATCTATCGTGTTCAGCGCTGTAGCATAATCAAAACCCTTTTCAACAATAAATTCACTTCGGTTCCATCAAACTAATTGAGATCTCTTCATTTTAAAACTTTCGGTACCTACTGTTCTTCTGGAACTATGATCTCAATTATATGACTTGACTCTTCTAGAGCTACTTTATCATCGAGTTGACCATCTTAATTTATATCTTCTTCCTTTCTCGAGGATTTTTTTTATCCTTGAAACTAATTGGTCTACCACGCTTCATGCGCTCGTTTAGACTCTTTAGATTGTCCAATATGGACATCAGTTTGTATTGGAGCATTCACAATTGGGCATGTGACATAATCACCCTTTGATTCTTGGTAGAATAAGGTCTTTTGCGTACAACGGGTACCAGACAAATGAATACAGGAACACTTCAAAATGGATATCTATTTCATTAAATTATTGCCATTTTAATTTGTTCGGGAATATTATTAAGTGAAATGTGAACGCCTATGTAAAGAGCACATTTTCAAAAATACCAAATTATCTTTTTGGGTCGGTCAACTATGGAAATAAATAATTGTTGCCCTTAAATTTTGAATTTAGATGGTCATGAACTTTATCCTCTTATAAATGTTTTGTTTTCTTTGTTGTGGCTTTTTGTGGCAACTCAATTATGATCATTTGGCATAATTTGTCGAAGGAAACTACACTCGTAGGCGGGACTATTTTGGAGATGTTGGGTTTTTGTTTTTATTTTCATCAGTGTCGTGTCTTTGTTCCTCGGAACTTCTTTAGAGCTGCCCAAGTAGTGGCTTAATATGCCCTTTGGCTTGCCTTGGAAAAAACAATATCAAGGAAATATATACAAAACCGCCAATGATGGAAACCCGAAAATTATAAATATAAATTCAAATAGGGTCGGGGAGCGACTATGATGATTACTATGAAGTAGAAATCACCATGGTTACTATGGCAAATTGAGTATGAAAAAATATTTATTAGTTATCTCTTTTAATAAATTACAAAATATTCTCTCTGTTTCTCTTAATCCCGTAATCTCCTATCATATCTCTTTTCCTTTTTGTCCTCAATCTTTTCTTTGTCTTTGTTCAGCTCAACTAATAGTCTAATACCACTATGAAAATATAACAAGAAATCAATACCAATATATTAAACAAACACTACCACTTCAAAAAAAAAACATCAATACCATTATAGAAGAAAGGCAAAATATACTTGTATAGCCAAAACTTTCGCGTTTGTGACAATAATAGCCACTTTTGAAAAAATACCACTTATAGCCAGATTTTGTAGTTGTTGTATGACATATCTAGCCATTTATGTTAGATATTTTAACGGTGTTAGTAACACCGTCAAGTTCTTTGATGGTTCGCTGACTAGACTCACACTCAACGCACACATCAGCTTCAAATAACGCAAAAGTGACACATCACAATTTAAAATTATTTAATAATTACACTCATAAACTAATTAATTAAAAAATTCCCCACTTCACTTTCCTTTTCTCTCTCTTTGTTGGGTTGGTAACAAAAAAAAAGAAAGAAATTTTCCACAGTAATCGCCATCGTCACTTTCCCTTTCTCCCTCTCTTCGTTGTGGGAAATACTAAAGTCCCCGGATTTATTTCAATCTCGTCGGATCGAAACCCTCAGATGAGTGGAAAGCAGATTTGGACGACACAACGTTGTGGAATGGCACCCTGTGCCTGTCCCTCGTCTCTGCATATTTAACCCAACGTATCGAAGAGATGAACCAGCGCGATGCCGAATTTGACGGTGATGTCGAAGGGGAGGGTGCCGAAAAAGGCTGACAACAAAGGTAGAGAAGCGGCAATGGTAGGGGT